GAATTCTTCCTTTAATAAATACTGGGTATATAAAATAAATTACAAGGTGTTAAGTAATTTTTCATTTAAATGTGTGTAGCCCCACCCCCGAAGGAGCTGATAATGATTTTGAGTTCTCAGTTCTGCGCCTCAACTCCAAGAACAATCTCTGACCCCCCCGACACACTTGGTTGTATAGAAATACCGGAAATGCAAGAGCAAGAGACTCTCAAAAAAAATAGCTGTACAAGATAATGCTTTACTGGAGATTAAGTCAGCAGGAGATAAAAAAAAAAAAGGTTCGTTGTGGTTGTTCCCTGATTTGCAAAATATAGCATTAAACAAAATCACAAAGATATACAGCAAAAAAGACAGTGTCAATAGCCTTAAATGCAGGAACAACAAATTCTAAATAAACCTATGATTCCAGGAGCAAGAGGGGGAAGAGGAGACCTTTAGCCAGACAGCTTCCTCTACCTCCTGCTGCCACAGGCCAAGAAAGCAATAAAGCACACTTTATGAAACCTGGGTAGGCATTTCCCTTAAAGTAACCAAGTGCTACATCAGCAATAGTAAAAAAAAAAATATTTAAAATTTTGACTCATCAGTCCAGAGCACCTGATGCCATTTTTCTGCACCTCAATTCCTTTTAAACATGTGCAGAACGAAAAAATTTGTTTAGTTTTGTTTCAGGTATATTTCTTATGTTACTAATCTCATTTTGTTATTCATTTTAGAAATTTGTTTAGCTTAGTTTAGTTTAGTTTCATTTATTCATTATCTAATGAATTTAGAATTTTTGGAACGATTAGAATTGAAATCCGTTGAAAATTAATCGACCGATTTGAATTCTTTCTAAAGAATAGCTGGTTGCTAAGGAGCGAGCCAGCAAGCCAGCTGCCATGTCCTTAACAACCGATGACTCATCAGCTGTCAGTGGGGTTCCATATTGACAGCTGAATGTAAAAAAAAATGGCTGGTAATTAACAATTATGAAAAAAACCTGCGTGGGGGTCCCCCCCATCCTTACCAGGCCGTTCAGATCTGGTATGAATTTTAAGGAGAACCCCATGCCAAAAGTAAAAAAAAAATGTTGTGGAGTTCCCCCAAAATCCATAATACCCCTACTCATTCACCAAAAAAGTGGTAAAAAAGAGTAAAAATGCAACAAGTTTTTGACAAGTCTCTGAAGTAGATCCAACGTCAATCACGATGAACACTGAAAAAAAAAAGAAAAAAAAGAAAAGCTCTGCACCTAACAAAGGCTCCCGTCATCTGACAGTTCTTAAATAACAAAGGGGTGGGGCCACCTGATGACATCACATGGTGGCCACACCCCCTGGTGATGTCACCGACAGGGGGCATACTGGGTTGATAACATCACAAGGGGCGGGGTCACCCAGTGACATCATTGGTGGCTCTGACCCTTGTGACATCATCGACAGGGGGCATGCTGGGTCGATGACATCACAAGGGGGTGGGGTCATCCAGTGACATCATCTGGAGGTCTCACCCCTTAGTTATTTAAGAACTGACCAATAGCGGAGCTGTCAGGTGGCGGGAGCCTTTTTTCGGGTGCAGAGGTCTTTTTTTTTTCCAGGTCGGCGGCCAACATTCATCGTGATTGATGTCGGATCTAATTTGGGGACATTTATTTTTGCTTTTTTTTTTTTTAATAAAGGACTTTTCAAAAACTGTACTGTTTTTATTCACTTTTTTGGTGAATGAGTAGGGGTACTATGTATCTGTTAAAGGGGGCTTCCAGATTCCAATAAGTCAGCCCCACACCCCACAACCACTGGGCCAGGAACAGGCCCTTGTCCTCATTTACATAGGTACAAGGTGCTTTGGGGGGATCCCCCCTGCCCCAAAGGACCCCCCATGTTGAGGGCATATGGCCTGTTATGGTTCGGGGGGGCGTTCACTCATACCCCCCTTCCTGCATGCTCAAATAAGGGTCATGTATGGATTTTGGGGAGACCCCATGCCATTTTTTTGTTAATTTTGGCATGGGGTTCCCCTATAAATCTATACCAGATCCGAAGGTCCTGGTAAGGATTGGGGGGGGGGAACCCCACACCTTTTGTTTCTAATTTTTTATTTGCTGGCAATTGTTTTGTTTACATTTACATTCAGCTGTCAGCAGAAAAGGATGAGTCATCAGTTGTTAAGGATGCGGCAGCCGGCTTGCTGGCCTACTCCTTAGCAGTTATTCTTCAAATAGAATTCAGATCGGTTGATCAGTTTTTGACTGATTTAAATTGTTTTGAAAATTTTGAATTTGTTAGAAAATGAATATACGAAACTAAACTAGTTTCAGCAAAATTTGTTTATATTTCAATAACCAAAAATTCATCTGATATTTGAACCAAAACGAATTGCACATGTTTAATTCCTATATTTTTTGTGCATAGTTGATTCGCTTAGCCTTATTTTCACATCAAAAGTATGGCTTTTTGGCTGCAATTCTTCCATGAAGACCACTTCTGGCCAGTTTTCTGTCGACAATAGATGGGTGAACCTGGGTCCTACTGGATTCCACCAGTTCTGTGCTGATGGCATTGCTGAACATCTTCCAATGTTGAAGGGAAGTAAACATGATGTGTCTTTCATCCCATTTCTTTGTGCTTCTTCAAAACACTTGAACAGCACATCTTGAAACCCCAGTCTGCTTTGAAATTTTTGCCTGGGAAAGACCTTGCTGATACAGTATAACTACTTACCTATACTATCTTGTTGCTGTGCTCAGTCTTGCCATGGTGTATGACTGGTGAGATGAAACTGTCTTCCACATTGTCACCTTAGTAGCAGAGTCTGGCTGTTCCTCACCCAGTTTTAAGCCTCCAACACAACTGTTTCTGTTTCAGATAATGACTGTTTTTTAACCTACTTGGTGAAAATGATGATCATCAGAACCTGCTTGGTGTAATTGGTTAATCATACACCTGACTCTAATATTACAAAATCCTTGACTTTGTGCAAGTGTACAAAGTGTGCAAGTTTAAGAATAGATGCTGGTTTGAAGCAAAGGGGGTAGTCACACCAAATATTGATTTGATTAAAATTTTACTTCTGTTCACTCACTTTGCATTTTAAAAATTGATAAAAATAAACAATTAAAATATATAAATTTTTAAAGCATTTTTAGTTTACAGCATTTCTTCACACTTGACAAAAAACTTTGCACAGTACTGCATTTTAAATCCAAGAGCAAATTATCTATATATTTTAGCTCAGCAGAGCTTAGTTATGGCAGCTCAATTCATTTTCTTATTTCAGTACATTAGTGTCCCTGTAAATGTGTGTGCAGGGAACTTAAATATCAAGCAATGTTACCAGCCTTGCCAACTATATTCAGATAACTCTTCTCTGTGTAATGAAGATGAGAAGATAGGAAAATGTTTGTATTCTAAATCAGGAAAACAGCATAGTTTGACAGTGCTTCCCCAATGGACTAGTAAGCTGTAATATATAAAATTTTTGTTTTGCGTTTAGATACACTTTAGGTGTATAAGTTTCAAGCTAATTGTTTATATAATTGTTAATACTTATATAAATTCTTTACTTCTAAAAAAAAAAAAAATTAATACAGTATGAGGTACACTTATGACTGTTATGATTTGCCGAACATCATGTGGTTTCTAAGAGAAAGTCCAGCGTTATTTTTTCTCTTTCTGAGTGTTTCTGCCTAAATTAGTTCCCTGGAAGAGTAGTATGAGCAGAGAAATAGAGGGCATGTCTCTTCTCTAATTCACTTAGCTATATGTGTAATTTGAGCTAATAAAACCAGCCGAGAGCTCCACCTTCTGACTGCACATGGTAAATATGAAACATTCACATGCAATAGTTCATATTTAGCTGATTATTATGGGGCAGTTTTAAAAAAAAGCATGCTATGTCTCAACAGAATAAATAAAGACACCCATGCTTGATATTTACCAAACAGTGGCCAATCATAATGTAGAATGTAACTGATAACAACCAGCAGCACCCACTAGTTTCAGTCATGTTAAGGTATGAAATGGAGTGATGAATGTGGTCCTAGTAAAGGTAACAGCTTTGTCCCATCCCTTTCATTAACATGGATAATGGCTGCCAAAGCCCAGAATATCTGCCCCAGTTTCATTTTCTATACTTGCTTTGACCCTCATCATCAGACATTATTAGCTGCCTCTAAGTGCATCCTCTCTTGTAAACTAATAGCCGGGTATAAGTCTTTGACCAATTGCACGATCACCCAGTTTATTGCAGGTGTTTAAAAATTAATACAGGGCCCCCTGGGCATTCACCAGACCCTATGATCCTTCCTAGGTTGCCCTGTGGATAATCCAGCTCTAAAGAGATACATTTAACAAACACACTGCAACAATTTGTGCACTGCCAGTTGATGTATCACCCTGCATCAAAACCAGCTTGCATTTGATAAATGCCCTTCTAATCACAAAGGCAAATGCGTGCACAGCAACCAGTTTGTGTAAGACCCTACTACATTCTTACTAAGGTGAGCAACTTCTGAGACTCATGAGTGACTGACACCATTTTTTGATACTGTAACTGTATCTATTCCGAAGTAGCAGTAGAGTATTGTACTGTGTTAGCCATCAATTAACCACTTGCCCTCTAAAGGACTCACCCCCCCCCCTTCCTGACCACTCCATTTTTTGCGATATGGCTCTGCGTTACTTTAACTAACAAATGCGCGGTCATGCAACGCTGCACCCAAATTAAGTTTACTTCCTTTTTTCCCACAAATAGAGCTTAGTGATATTTGATCACCTGTGCGTTTTTTATTTTTTGTGCTATAAAAACAAAAAAAAATGACACTTTTAAATATGTCCAGTAAAAAAATGTAAAAAATCAAATTTCATCATAAATTTATGCCTTCTGCTACACGTCTTTGCTAAAAAAAATCCTAATATGTGTAAACGTATTGGTTTACGTGAAAGTTATAGCGTTTACAAATGGCTGTATATATACTGGAATTGTTTTTTATTTTATTAGTAATGGTGGCGATCAGCAACTTATAGCCAGACTGCAGTGGGCATTCTGACACTGGGGTGGAACTGACTTGGTGTCACTGAAATCCCCAGTGATACCAATACAGTGATCAGTGCTAATAAAAAGCACTGACACTGTACTAATGGCACTGGGCAGGAAGGGGTTAACATGTGGGGCAATCAAAGGGTTAACTGTGTGCTGTTTTACTATGTGTGCTGTGTGTGTTTTAGTGTAAGCACACTGCTTTGTATGGCTCTGCCATGCAGAGCCATACAAAGCCATATGCAGGAGCTGACAGGCGAGAGATCTGTGTATTCATTTACATACAGGTCGCTGATCAGAAACCCCTTGAGATAGGGTCCATTTACATACAGGTCGCTCCCCCATCAGAAACCCTTGGAGATCGCCGAGTAGCGGCAAGGAATCACTGGGCAGGACTCAGTAATTGACAGCCGAGGCCAAGAACGGTAGCGCAGGAAGGGCGCACGCACGTCTTGCACTCCCCCCACACCAGGAACTGCAAAATCATGTGTGTATATATATATATATATATATAATATATATATATATATATGTGATTTTGCGCACCCGTGCTGCCCTGTAGCAGTATTTCTGCTATAGGGCAGCGTGGAAACAGTTAAAGTAGAAAGTTTGGAGGTTACGTGATACCCTTTTTTGGCTAACTTAAGTTATTAAAGATGCTAGCTTTTAGGATAACTCATATTCCATCTTTATATATGTAGAAAGCCTGAAGAAGAGATCTAAGTTAACCCACACTTTCTATATTATTCTGTATTTATTCCATTGCAAAAATATCCTTGCAGCAGAACTGTCTTCATTTCATTCAGAACAAGTAAAAAGCCCATTACACAACAAAATGATACCTTCATCAACTGCTAGTGATCTACCGTGAGCACATTTTAAAGTCTTAATTATGCCTTCTGCAGAATGATTTATGTCAAGGGCACTAAGTAAAATTAAATTAAACCATCCACCTTCTGGTTAATTATCACGGAAAGCAAGAGTGTTGTAAGTGGATTCCAATTAGACCGGTTACAGTCCAAGGTTACGAAGTGCAATTCTTCAGCTTATAAGAAGAAACACAAATAATGGAGAAACTTGACCCAAATGTTTAATGATCTTGGCTCTAAACAATAAGATAAAGCAAAAATGACATCTGTTCTTTCTTTATGCTTTGGCAGCAAATTATTTCATGGTCTAATTATTTCTAAATACCTACGTGCTCATAGTATAATTTTCATGCAGCCATGCTTCTAATCTGTAAATACACTTCCATAAATAAGCAGGATGACCAAGAACACAAAACAATGCATAGCAGAGAGCATCTTCTACTTAAAGAGGTAATTGACCAAAAAGTATTTTTTGATAGCAAGGCTAAGCCATGTTTGGTTAACTAATTAAAATACAAATAATGATATTAAAACGTACTATTATTATTATACAGGATTTGTATAGCGCCAACAGTTTGCTCAGCACTTTACAAAATGAAGGTAGACATTACAGCTACAATACAATTTGGTACAAGAGAAAACAGAGGCCTTGCTCGTTAGAGCTCACCATTTTACTAAACAATATTATTTTTTTACCCATACATGTCAAAATAATGTGCCAAATTTCTTCATAGTGATCCCAAAATATTTGTCCGGGCATAGCTAAAAAGTAGGGAAGAAATTATGTATTATTAATCAATTTATTATTCTTACGTATACACAATAAATGAACCCTAAAGTGCTTCAGTGGAGCTGATTTATAAGGTGGCAGCAGTGTTTAATTTGAATACATTTCACTTATTCACATACTTACGTTGTTTTTTGTATGCATTTAGCGCATTGGTTTTTCTCACATATTTTCTTACATACTACACTATATTGTATATTCAAAATCCCTCAAATCTAAAGATTGTCTTTACAGTTTTATTTAAAATTTTGGTATAAAATCAAACTATCTTTAACTATATGATACACTGCATTTATGTATAGTAAATCCAATATTTAATTTAAAGTGGAACTATAGGAAAAGTATAAAAAAAATACAAATATATGATGCACTCTGTCACTAGCATGAACACAACAGGAGTACCCCCTGTATCATAGCTTTATTACCTTCCATTTGATCTTGCCAGTAGACCCATTATTTTCCCACTTCCTGTAATATGATGAGAACATTATTCATTCAGGAATGAAAGGACCGCAGCACACAGTTGTCACCCAGTGGACAATGGATAGAGTAGTTATAGATCATCAATGGGGTTGATTTACTGAGGACAAAAATATTGTGCCCTGCAAGTGTGGTTGCACCAGAGCTTATTAAATTAAGTAAAGCTTCAATTTGCAAAGAATACCCAATCACATGCAAGGAAAAAAAAAAACGCATGTTTGCTTGTACATAATTGAATGCTAGGAATCAGCATAGCTTCCCCTCATTTCAGATCTAGAGCAACTGCACTTGCAGTTCACAGACTATTTGCCTTTAGTAAATCAGCCCTAATTTTTATGCAGTTACAACCACGTTTTTTTTTTCCTTTTTTAGAAAAAAAGGTTTAAGCCAGATGTAGGGAAGAGCTAATGGTTCAGTCCAAGTGTAAGTTGGGACTAAACATTCACTGTTTGGACATTCACTTGAATGCGGAACGTTTCATCTAAACAGGACAAAGTGGCTGGGAGCTATCATTTTGCAATTAATTTAAATACACTTTTTTCTTTGTAAATGTCATAGTTGCTGTATTGGTTCTATACATCGCACAAATGCACCACTTCACAAGCCAGGTCAGGGCACCCCTTATACATGTTATTTAACCACTTCCCGTACAGCCCATGTATATAAGAGGCTGGATGGGAGCAGTGCAGGAGCGGGTTGCCATTCATAAATGGCGGCCGCCATTTTAGCCTGTGCCCACTCCCTGGGAGCGTGTGGCACCGCGATCCGGAGCCCGCTGTGTCCTCCGGGACATCTGTGTGAGGTCCCGATCATGTGATCACTGATTGGCCATCTGACATCATTGCTTACTATGTGTGAAATCTGTGAATGATCACAGAGGTCACATGGTACAAGGCTATTCACAACAGCCTTTTACCATGTGACAAGCTGTGACCAATCACAGCTCTCACAGTATCTCTCAATGGCTGCAAGAATGCATCCAGAGAGAAAGAGAAATGATTGCTTTTACAGCCTTTATGGATGTAAAAGCAATCAGTGTAAAAAAATAAAAATCTTCATCACACCCCATAAGTAGTACAGTGTCACTATGGTGACACTGTACTGCTAGGGTGACAGTATGTTAAAAAACATAAATAATAATATAAAAAAAAAAAAAAATGTAAAAATAAATTTTGACAAATTATAATTTTTGGTTATAAACTAATTTGGGTTATTTTTTTTACTAAAAAGGTAACTGAATAAATTTTGGCCAAGATTTATGAAGGAAGATTATTTATTTGCAAAATTGTATAAGAAAAACACTTTTTTTCAAAATCTTTAGACTTTTTCATTTATATAGCAAAAAAAAAAAAAAAAAAAAATCCCAGTGGTGAATAAATACCACCAAAATAAAGTTTTATCTGTTTAAAAAAAAATGCTAAAAAATTAATATGGGTCCAGTGTTGCATGACCGCGCAATTGTCATTCAAAATGTGACAGCGCTGAAAGCTGAAAATTGGCCTGGACAGCAAGAGGGTAAAAGTGTCTGGACTTGAAGTGGTTAATGGAGTTTTGCTATTTTATGATTTACTTTAAGTATTACTAAAATGGCTCCTGGCAAAGAGAATAAAAAAAAAATTTTTTTGCTTTTATTTTTGATGTTCATTAGGGCAAAACCCAGCCCATTTTATATGTTATTAGCAGCTATCTTACAAAGGTATTTTTCTGTTTTCAGAGTGTAAGTAGTTTTTTTTATGTACAATGCTCATATTTAGTAAAGGCACATTAGTTACCTACTGGGTTTTCTGTTTCCTTGCTTTACTTTAAAGTAACCAAAAAAGAAAAAGCAAAACAGGCCCCCATGCCATTTGTTTGACAATCACTTGCCTATTAGCTTAGGAAATGGTCATTACTGATTTTTATTATTCGGCCCCCATTGACTTCAGTAGGGGTTGGATTCAGCAGCCAAACTTTAGTTATGTTTGCCGAACCCTGATGAAACCGAACCCAGGTAGATTTGGCTCATCACCAGCCATAAGAATAAAAGCTGGTCATTGTAATTACCCCACCCAGCCCCCACACTTCCCCAGTGTAATATGTTTTTTTTTCCTGACCCTTTAGCTTCCACTCTTGCTGGACAGCTTGAGATATTGCTGGAATGAGAAAACTAAAAACTAACAGAAAACAACAAAATAAAAATTACTGTGATAATTCTATTGATGGACAACATATCATAAAGTAATTTTTGATTTGTCTATAGTGTAACTTTGTTGCTATAGATCAGTGGTTCTCAACCTGTGGGTCGTGACCTCTTTGGGGGTCGAACGACCCTTTCACAGGGGTCACCTAAGACCATCTGGGAAAACACATATTTCCGATGTGTAAAGAGCAGCTACTGTGTAGAAAGCAGCTACTGTGTAGAAAGCAGCCACTGTGTAGAAAGCAGCAGTATTGGAGGTAAAACGACACTTCATGAATTATAATTACTGGGTAAATAATTTTATGTTTGGGGGTCACCACAACATGAGGAACTATATTAAAGGGTCACGGAATTAGGAAGGTTGAGAACCACTGCTATAGATAAAAGCTAGTGATGACACCATGAAAATGCCAGTTTACTTATTCCATTGTCACGTAAAAAAATTTAATTATTTTTAAAATCATTTTAGTAGATCATTGCTACATTCATTTGCAGCATGTAGCAGCAAGATAGTAAATATATTTTTACCAGTTTAAAATTTTCTATATTGTGAATGCTATCATTATTAGATTTTATGTAATGTTTCTGACTTACTCTACAAGAATAACCAACCCTTATAATTGAATTATTTTTTACAGTGTTTTCACTTAGCACTTCCAAAGCGTAAAATATTTTACAGATTGCATATTGCTATTTTTTTATGTTTAACAGATGTTTTATGTTGTAATGGCTCCTGTACACACATGGAAAGCAACTATTAAACTTTAGTAAAACTCTGATGTCTCTGATTTGTGTTTTTTTTCTGTGAGGCTAGCATAGTCATGCAGAGCTTAAGCCGTTTTGGATAACAAATAGGTTAATTCTTTTGATCATGGAAATCTGCATCTTCTAAAATATTTTTTCATGCAATGAGTCCGTCAGCTTGTCTAAGATCTTGTTACAAAGCCCCCAATCTTAGGTCATCATGACTAATCCAAGCAAGTTCCATGGCATTCCCTAACTGTTTTATGTTTTCTTCCTGCTAAATGTTTACTTACCCAAACAGAAGTTT